ATTGCGCAATACCCCTAAGCCCCAGGGGGAATCGATTATCTTTTCTTGAAAATTACCTTGAGAGTTTCCAAACCGTTTTCCGCAATATTTTCATAAATACTCCAGAATCTTTAATACATTTACAAGTTTTCCAACGCATTTTCAAAACGTTTACACATTTCCACTTCTGACATTTCCGAAAAGTTTTCCGAAGATTTCTACTCATTTTCAACATTTTAAAATGCGTCCCACTCACATAAAGAAATCGCACATTTTCGGGGAATGTAAAATGTTCGATGTCTCACTTTTCCAAGCGGACTATAGCCCTTTTAAATTTCGAGAATTGTTTGGAAATTGAAAATTTTAAGATAGGTATAGACATTTTTGATTATAGACATTTGAGAATTTGGTTCTCAATTTTTGAAATCTAAGATGTTGGGATTTTTGGTCATTTGGGAAATTATTATTTTAGAAATTCGAGGTTACAGATTATCTTAAATTTTGTTTTTATCTCGGTTTTTATGGAATTCAAAATTGTGGGAATTTATGATTTTGGGAATTCGAGGTTATGGACAGTTTAGATTTTGGGAAAACTTGATTTTTTGGAATTTTTCAAACTTTGAGAGTGTGAGATTTACGGAATTTCAGGTTATAGACATTTTTGGACATTTAGGAATGTATGATTTTGGGAATTCGAGGTTATGAACATATCAAATTTTTAGAATTGATGATTTTGGGGATTAGAGCGCGACATTTTAACTTTTGAGAATCGTTAATAAACATAAATAAATAAAATAAATATTTTGGGAAGTGAACATTTTGGGATTTTGAAATTTTTGGAACTTTGGGAGATTGAGATTTAAGAATTTAAGATTATCGACATTTTCAATTTTGGGAGAATTTTTTATGGAATTCACAATTTCTATCAATAATTTTCAAATGTCTATTTATATGCATATTTTTGCATATTTTGTGCTGTGTCGTTATTAAATATGCAAAATCTATTGCTAACTTTACTTTGGTTGTATATCGTAATTTGTTGTTGAGTACTACGAGCAAGTTTTTGAGAGAGCAGTCTGCATACAAAAATTTTGTAAAATTTGTTACTGACTTCAGCCCTTAAACATGTAACCAGAGTGTTTTCTTGATCAACAACAAATACGTAACAAATTCTAAGAATTATTTTGGTTCGTTTCCATTCTGTAAGGCGATACTTCCTAAAAAGTATCAATTTCCTACGTCTGGAGCATTATATTGTTCTACAATTTTGGCCGTTTCACCGTCGCCAGGCCGCACTTCAGTCTACTATTTTAAGCACTTTGTTCAATTCCCGTAATAAAATCACAAGTTAAGTGGAGTCGTTAACGCTCGAGGAGTTCTGGTAATAAAAAATTAATAAAAAGAGCTTAATAATTCAATGACCCTTTGGCGCCGGAATCGGAGACCTTCATCGCGCGCAAAATTTTCCGGAAAATGAGTATTCCCAAAACGTCTCTCTCTCCCTCGCCGCATTCTCTCACGAGAAAACGAGTTTATCGCGAAATTTCGATCTGAAAAATGTCCGAGGCATGTGCAAATTACCATACCGAACCGGAGAAACGTACGCCATTTTGTAATAAATTAGAATTAAGCGCGAGCAAATTACCTTACGTCTTTTTAATAGAAAAATAGCTCGCGATGGCCTTCGGTGCGCAAATTTGCCACTTGACATTTTCAATTGACGAAGAAAATCGGAGTGGGTCACGCCTCGGTTTTCGACAATTTAAATCTGCGTCGCGAGTCCGAAATAAGCGGCTCAAGGATTTTGAAGGATTGGAACGGAAATTAAAATTTTAATTGCTCGCGGTAAATGGGTCACTTGTACAGAGATGCGAAAACGATTGTTTTGTTGACGTCGTCTTTGGACTTTCTTCGCGAATGGCGAAGTTCCGAGTGCAAATGTCGGTAATTTCCTGTAATTCCCTGTCAGGAAATTTAATTTCCGCGAGAGGAGTTGGTTTTGAATGGACGCTTGTCAATAGCACTCACAAATGTATGTCATAGTCGCACCTTTTTGTCCGTTCGATTAGCGACATATTAAGGTGTTGTTTGGTATTTACGTAACACTTAAAATTCGGATTCAAATTAACCTGATAAAGTGCTACGTACTTCAGGATTAGAATTTTAAATGTGGTCTTTTAAAAAAAAATCTGAAATGAACTGCATTTTTAGCTTCAAATTTTAATGTGAAGCCTTCAATCTTAAAATATGGAGCACGGAGACCGCACAAAAATCATTTTAAGCTGAGGTCTTGAAAGGAACCTTCAACTGTTGAAGTTTCAACTGCATTTTTAGCTTCAAATTTAAATGTGAAGCCTTCAATCTTAAAATATGGAGCACGAAGACCGCACAAAAATCATTTTAAGCTGGGGTTTTGAAAGAAAACTTCAACTTTTGAAGTTTCAACTGCATTTTTAGCTTCAAATTTAAATGTGAAACCTTCAATCTGAAAACATGGAGCATGAAAACCGCACAAAAATCATTTTAAGCTGGGGTCTTGAAAGAAAACTTCAACTTTTGAAATTTCAACTGCATTTTTAGCTTCAAATTTAAATGTGAAGCCTTCAATCTTAAAATATGGAGCATGAAGACCACACAAAAATCATTTTAAGCTGGGGTCTTGAAAGAAAACTTCAACTTTTGAAGTTGCAACTGCATTTTTAGCTTCAAATTTAAACGTGAAGCCTTCAATCTTAAAATATGGAGCATGAAGACCGCACAAAAATCATTTTAAGCTGGGGTCTTGAAAGAAAACTTCAACTTTTGAAGTTGCAACTGCATTTTTAGCTTCAAATTTAAACGTGAAGCCTTCAATCTTAAAATATGGAGCATGAAGACCGCACAAAAATCATTTTAAGCTGGGGTCTTGAAAGAAAACTTCAACTTTTGAAGTTGCAACTGCATTTTTAGCTTCAAATTTAAATGTGAAGCCTTCAATCTTAAAATATGGAGCATGAAGACCGCACAAAAATCATTTTAAGCTGGGGTCTTGAAAGAAAACTTCAACTTTTGAAGTTTCAACTGCATTTTTAGCTTCAAATGTAAATGTGAAGCCTTCAATCTTAAAATATGGAGCATGAAGACCGCACAAAAATCATTTTGAGCTGGGGCCTTGAAAGAAAACTTCAACTTTTGAAGTTGCAACTGCATTTATAGCTTCAAATTTAAATGTGAAGCCTTCAATCTTAAAATATGGAGCATGAAGACCGCACAAAAATCATTTTAAGCTGGGGTTTTGAAAGAAAACTTCAACTTTTGAAGTTGCAACTGCATTTTTAGCTTCAAATTTAAACGTGAAGCCTTCAATCTTAAAATATGGAGCATGAAGACCGCACAAAAATCATTTTAAGTTGAGATCTTGACAATAAACTTCAAATTTGAAACTTGAACTGTATTTTAAGCTTCAAGTTTTCTCGTGAAGCTCACAATCTTAAAATATGGCGCATGAAGACCGCACAAAAATCATTTTAAGCTGAGGTCTTGAAAGAAAACTTCAACTTTTGAAGTTTCAACTGCATTTTTAGCTTCAAATTTAAATGTGAAGCCATCAATCTTAAAATATGGAGAATGAAGACCGCAGAAAAATCATTTTAAGCTGAGGTCTTGAAAGAAAACTTCAACTTTTGAAGTTTAAACTGCATTTTTAGCTTCAAATTTAAATGTGAAGCCTTCAATCTTAAAATATGGAGCATGAAGACCGCACAAAAAAATTTTAAGCTTCCAGTTTTCTCGTGAAGCTCACAATCTTAAAATATGGCGCATGAAGACCGCACAAAAATCATTTTAAGCTGAGGTCTTGAAAGAAAGCTTCAACTTTTGAAGTTTCAACTGCATTTTTAGCTTCAAATTTAAATGTGAAGCCTTCAATCTTAAAATATGGAGAATGAAGACCGCACAAAAATCATTTTAAGTTGAGGTCTTGAAAGGAAACTTCAACTTTTGAAGTTTCAACTGCATTTTTTGCTTCAAATTTAAATGTGAAGCCTTCAATCTTAAAATATGGAGCATGAAGACCGCACAAAAATCATTTTAAGCTGGGGTCTTGAAAGAAAACTTCAATTTTTGAAGTTTCAACTGCATTTTTAGCTTTAAATTTAAATGTGAAGCCTTCTTTTAACTGCATTTTTAGCTTCAAATTTAAATGTGAGAACATGAAGACCGCACAAAAATAATTTTAAGCTGAGGTCTTGAAAGGAAACTTCAACTTATGGAGTTTCAACTGCATTTTTAGCATAAAATTTATATGTGAAGGCTTTAATCTTAAAAAGGGGAGCATGAAGACCGCACAAAAAAATTTTAAGCTGATCTTGACAGTAAACTGCAAATTTGAAGCTTAAACTGTATTTTTAGCTTCAAGTTTTCTCGTGGAGCCCTGAATCTTAAAATATGGACAATGAAGACCGTACAAAAAAGAAATTAAAACTCAGATCTTGAAAGGAAATTCAAATTTGAAGCTTGAACTGAATTTTTGGCTTCAAATTTAAATGTAAAGCCTTCAGTCTTAAAAGTTAGAGCATGAAGACCCCACAAACATATTTTGAGCTGAGATCTTGGCAGGAAACTTCAAATTTGAAACTTGAACTGCATTTTTAGCTTCAAAATTTCTCGTGTAGCCCCCAATTTTAAAATGTGGACCGTGAAGATCGCACAAAAAATACTTTCAAGGCAAGGATCTTGGAAGGAAATTTTAAATTTGAAGCTTCATCTCTATTTTTGCTTAAAATCTAAACGTAAAGCCTTCAATCTTAAAATATGGACCGTGAAAACCGCACAAAAAATAATTTAAAACTGAGATCTTGAAAGGAAATTTCAAATTTGAAGCTTGAGGTGCATTTTTAGCTTCAAATTGAGCGCGAAACCTTCGTTCTTAAAATGTGAACTTGAAAACCGCACAACAAATAATTTCAAACTCGGATTTTTAAAGGGAATCTCCAAGTTGAAGCTTGAATTGTGTATTGTCTTCCTAGGAGAATGAGTTGTCGAAAATCCTCTCAGATTGTTACGTAATATTGGGAATTGAAAATAGATAATTATCTTGCACCCGTAAATGCGAATCGGGATTAGTATTAACACGATTCCTTGCTTGGCAGTCTAGCTATGGACGATCCCGAAATCAAAGAAACCGTTGAGCAAATATTAGGTAAAGGGGCTAAGGTCGTAGATTGCGAAAAGAAATCTTCGATCAAAGAGGAGGAAATTTTGCTAATAAATGGCGTACCAGTAACGCTCGAGGGGCGCGACGGAAGAGCCATAAAAGAGGCGTTAATCACCGGGCAGGTGCCCCCTTGCGATCTCCTCAACACGTTGCTCATTAAGACCGGCATACTGAAGGCACCTGTGAAATTGGACACGTCTCTGAGTGTAAAGTCGACGACGGTCACCAAAGAGGAGGTGACCGTTTCGCGCGCGGGAAAAATAGTCGACGAGCGAAGTCGAGAGACGAAAGAGCATAACTTTTTTACAAGTGCCATTAGTGAAGTTTACGAACCGGTAAGAGTTATACCAACATCGGAACTTTTGAACGGGGAGTACCCGAAAAGCAAACGAAACGAAACTTTTCCAGTAAATGGGAACGAGCAAAACGGTTACGAAACGAGCAGCGATCACAAGTTTAGTTCGTTCTCGAGCGCGAGCAGCTACGAATCGGACTGCCCCGCCAATGACGACCAACGAAAAACCACCCTCAGCAAGGACTCGGGTCACCTGACTAACAGCACGATGTCTTCCACGACCAAAGTCGACTTTACTCCGAGCTCAATCGACTCGCTTAGCTCTCTAGACGAAACCGATTACAAAAACGATTTGGTTGACAAATTCCGCAAGTGCGGATTTAACAGTAACGGGTACCGGAAGGAGTTTACGGTAAGACATATTGCACTCACTCGATCCGATTGGAGACATTTGCAAAGACTAATTCGGTTCTCTTCTTCTTTAGCCTACTATTTTTGGAACCGTGGCATCGGACCACACGCCCAAAGACTGTTCAAATAGGAGGGTAAGCACAATCTCAGGATCTCCCAGGCGCGTGGAGTTATCACGGTGTTAAGGTCAAGGGTCATTTTATTTCTCAATACCGTGGTCACTTCACCCCCCTCCAGCCCGCTTCTTAACACGTACTAATTTAGCTTTCTAACAGAGCTTACCCCAAACTCCCCAGACCGGTAAGAACTTCTCAACCTTATACAATGGAGAAGCGATTTCGGAAAGTGCCTCCATTGCAGATACTCACCACGATAACGTAAGCATCGCTACTAACGGTCGCGCGATTTTTTCGCACCAATCACGCGTGCGCTCTTCTTTTCAGGCACTTGTATATAGAGATGGAAACTTGATATCGGGCCCCCTGGAGGCGCTGATACAGCACATGGTTCCTACAGACACGTACTACCCGGACCGGGCGTATCTGTTTGCATTCCTCCTCTCGTCGCGGCTCTTCATCAAACCGCACGATCTGCTCGCGCGCGTTCGGAATCTCTGCGAGGTGCAGCAGGGTCTCGGCAGCGCGGGCGTCGCGACGCAGCCGGGCCTGTACAGGTTCGCCGAGCACCTCGTCCAGCTGCTCGCCGAGTGGACCGAAACCTTCCCGTACGACTTCAGGTGAGTAGACGTCCGGCGGGTTTCGTTCTCAAAAACCTGACATGCGCAGAGACGAGCGGGTGATGCAGCACGTGCGCACCATCACTCAGCAGTGCTGCTGCTTGAGCTCGAGTTTGCGCGCGAACGTCTCGTCGCTCCTCCACAACCTGCTGCAGCGACTCACCGCGCTGGAGAACTACGAGAAGTTCCTGGAGGAGCCCCAGCTGCCGATGGACGACGGCACCGACATCACGGACGTCTGCCCGAAACCCGACGTTCTCGCCCAGCAACTGACGCACGTCGAGCTCGAGAGGCTGTCGTACATCGGGCCCGAGGAGTTCGTCCAGGCGTTCGCCAAGGAGAACCCGCACATCGAGACTTCATTTAAGGACATGAAGAAGACGCACAACTTGGAACAGTACGTGCAGTGGTTCAACAGGCTCAGCTATTTCGTGGCGACTCAGGTTATAAGGGTGAGTGTGCCGGATCGTCAGTTCGCCGACTAACTCAAAGACTTGCAGCACTTGAAGAAGAAGCAGAGGGTGCGCGTGGTTGAATATTGGATAGAGACGGGTCGAGAGTGCTTTAATATTGGAAATTTTAACAGTTTGATGGCGATCATAGCTGGACTTAACATGTCGCCGGTGTCGCGGTTGAAAAAGACGGTAGGTTTCCACGACCAGGACGCCTGTAAGCCGGGGGGGGGGGCACTCTCGACTTTATTTCAGGAGTAAACTCTTCATTTTTTCTCATCAATTTTGTTATGATGGAGAGCGGGGGGGGGGGGGCTTAGTTTTTTTAGATTCTAGTAACCAATGTACTTATTTTTTAGCAACTTTTTCGTAGCTAATATTCTTTGGGCACTATTCTAGGGGACTTCGGAGGGGGGGGGGGGGTCCGTTCAATCTTTTAGAGCTTGAGAAAAATTTGCCCCATCAACAATGTGATGCGGCATTTTTCTTTTACATTCTAGTAGGCGAATATTGTATGAACAGATTTTCGCGCCAACATTGGAGGGGGAGCGGGGAATTTTCTGGGTTTAAGAAAAAGCTTTCTCGGGTGGGCAGTAACAGGGCGCGGCGGGGCGGCCCAGTCGCCGAATCGTCTGTTCCCAGTTATATAGCTGCGCCGCCTCGTCTCGCTTGTTGACTATCGCAAAGTTGTCGAATCTGAAACGTTATCTCGGATGGCTAGTAACTGGGCGAGCCGGGGCGCTATGTCCCTCAAGTATTCCTTTTAATGTAATTGGAGACTCGCCTCGCCCGAATTTCTAAGGTTCTTATGGAGGTGGCCAGTTTCTCTCCCCTAAAGAAAGAGCTACACTGGAAATTATTGTATATTCTAGGAAGGTAATATTCCAACATTAGGTTTTTTCCTGAGCCTAATGTTTCTCGGAAGAATAGGGCGCGGTCACGGGGGGGGGTGTAACAGCACTCACTCCCTTTCGACTTTAGCGGGAGAATATTTCAGGAGTAAACTCTTAATTTTTTCTCACCAATTTTCTTAGATAGATAGATAGATAGATAGATATATATGCTTTGGGGCCACTATTCTAGGGGACTTCGAAGGCGAGGGGGGGCTCCGTTCAATCTTTAGAGCTTTAGAAAAATTTGTCCCACCAAGAATGTGATGCGGCATTTTTCTTTTACATTCTAGTAGGCGAATATTGTATGAACAGATTTTCGTGGCAACATTGGAGGGGGAGGGGGAATTTTCTGGGTTTAAGAAAAAGCTTTCTCGGATGGGCAGTAACAGGGCGCGGCGGGGCGGCCCAGTCGCCGTATCCGAATCGTCTGTTCCCAGTTATATGAATGCGCCGCCTCGCCTCGCTTGGTGACTACCGCAAAGTTGTCGGAACTGAAACGTTATCTCGGATGGCTAGTAACAGGGCGAGGCGGGCCGCTAAGTCCTTCAAGTATTCCTTTTGGAAGCTCGCCTCGCCCGAATTTGTAAGGTTCTTGGGGAGGTGGCCAGTTTCTCTCCCCTAAAGCAAGAGCTACACTGGAAATTGTTTGTTGTACATTCTAGGAAGGTAATATTCCATCATTAGCTTTTTCCCTGAGCCTAATGTTTCTCGGACAGAATAGGGCGCGGGCAGAGGGGGGGGGGGATTTTTAATTTAGATTTTTAAATGCATGTTTAGATAAGATCCATTATAAATAGGCATTAATTTTTGGAACAATGTCGGGTGGGACTGGAAGGGGGGGGGGGGATTTTCCTGTAATACAATAATCCAATCAAACAGTTTGTTTTTTTTATTTTGAAAATAATTCTCAAATACATTATACCATTACTAAATTTTGGAGATGTGTTTATGTGTGAGGGGGCGGGGGGTGGGGGGTACCTCTGAAAAATGTAGGTTGATTCAAGGAATATTTTTCTTCATGCTGAGATCAAATGTAACATTTTACTTTTTGATTCTAGAGGACGAACATCCAAGGGCAAACTTTCTTGAACTAATTTCTCTATGCCAAATATTATATTGGGGGGGGATCTTATAACTAGCTCGCAATGTGGTACTTTAAGAGACAAATTCTTAGGGCAAACGTTCGTCACTTAATTGTTGGTTGCCACTAGCTCCGTAAGGGGGGGGGGATGAATTTTCCGCACGGGCTCTTTGAAATTGAATTCCAGGAAGTATTTCCTTTTAACATTTTGTTTTTATTTTGAAATTATTCTAAAATACATGAAATAGACATGCTTAATATTAACGTTTGGAGGTTTCTGTATGCGGGGGGAGGGGGGGGCACAGTTTTTCTGGAATAATTTAAGTGTAAGGTGATTCAAGGAGGAATGTTGCATAGCAGGTAGTCGTGGAGGGGGCGAATTTTGCTATAATCCTTTAGGCAAGAACAGTTTTGGTGATTTAATTTCTGTAACTGTGTACGTGTGGGGGGGGGGGGCAGCGAAATCTCCCTGGGAATCTTAAGCTGGAGAGATGGAAATTTTCCTTGCTATGCAGCACTTTAAAGACGAATATTATTGAAGCGAATTTTCGTGGGCGATAGTATTGGAAACTTAGCTCAATTCCGCTTTCTACTTTTAAATTCTAGAGGATTAGTATACCAATAGTGAGCGTTCGTAAGATAATTTTTCGTAGGCAAAATAGTTGGAGGGGCGGGGAGAATTTTCCGTGCAATTCTTTGGAGAGCAATAATTTGGAAATTAAGGAAAGAATTTTTCTTTCAGGATCCTAAGTGGCTAATACAATTTGGGGGAGTTTTTGTAAGTTTTCCGTGGCTAATGATCTTCAAGTGGTCGGGGGAGGAGGGCGCATCCGGTTCACTATACTCGCGAGAGGTGAGGGGGGCAGCGAGTCGTGCATACAGCTCTTGGTTTTCATCGAGTAATGTGTAGTTGGGGGAGGGGGTGCAGAGTGGCTATTTTAACTTAGGTTCTAGTGGCCAAATATTCACATCCAAGAGGGTGTCCTGTGTTTTGTCCTTCAGGATCCTAAGCGGCTAATACAATTCGGGGGGCGCATCCGGTTCACTATACTCCGCGGGAGAGGTGAGGGGGGCAGCGAGTCGTTCATACAGCTCTTGGTTTTCATCGAGTAATGTGTAGTTGGGGGAGGGGGTGCAGAGTGGCTATTTTAACTTAGGGTCTAATGGCCAAATATTCACGTCCCAAGGGGAGTTTTGTGTGTTTTGTCTTCCAGGATCCTAAGTGGGGAAGTTTTGTAGTTTTTCCGTGGCTAATGATCTTCAAGTTGGTCGGGGGAGGAGGGCGCATCCGGTTCACTATACTCGCGAGAGGTGAGGGGGCAGCGAGTCGTTCATACAGCTTTGGTTTTCATCGAGTAATGTGTAGTTGGGGGAGGGGTGCAGAGTGGCTATTTTAACTTAGGGTCTAGTGGCCAAATATTCACGTCCCAAGGGGGAGTTTTGTTTTTGTCTTCAGGATCCTAAGTGGGGAAGTTTTTGTAAGTTTTCGTGGCTAATGATCTTCAAGTGGACGGGAGGAGGGCGCATCCGGTTCACTATACTTTTGAGAGGGGCGAGAGTGGCGAATCGTTCATACAACTGAAGGGACGCGTTCTTGATTTTATCAAGTAATGTGTCGAGGGGGAGGGGAGGCTAGAGATGCCAGAGTGGCTAGGTTCTAGTGGGCAAATATTCACATTCCAAAGGGTGTCCTGTGTTTTGTCCTTCAGGATCCTAAGCGGCTAATACCATTCGGGGGGCGCATCCGGTTCACTATACTCGCGAGAGGTGAGGGGGCAGCGAGTCGTGCATACAGCTCTTGGTTTTCATCGAGTAATGTGTAGTTGGGGGAGGGGGTGCAGAGTGGCTATTTTAACTTAGGTTCTAGTGGCCAAATATTCACGTCCCAAGGGGGAGTTTTGTGTTTTGTCTTCCAGGATCCTAAGTGGGGAAGTTTTTGTAAGTTTTTCGTGGCTAATGATCTTCAAGTGGACGGGAGGAGGGCGCATCCGGTTCACTATACTTTTGAGAGGAGCGAGAGGTGGCGAATCTTTCATACACCTTAAGGAAAGCGTTCTTGATTTTTCATTGAGTGGTAGGGGGAAAGGGGGGGCAGAGATGCAGAGTGGTTATTGTAATTTAGGTTCTAGTGGGCAAATATTAACATTCCAAGGGGGAGTCCGATGTTTTAATGTATGCTGTTCATTTTGCAGTGGCACAAAATACAGTCGGGCAAATTCGCGATCTTGGAGCACCAAATGGACCCGAGCAGCAACTTCAGCAGCTACCGTAGTACGCTGAAGGCGGCCATGTGGCGGAGCGCGGGCGCGACAGACCAAAGACAACGCATCGTCATACCATTTTTTAGTCTTCTAGTTAAGGATCTCTACTTCCTGAACCAGGGATGTTCGAATAAGTGAGTTGCGCTCTTGTCCCGTCCGTCGTGTTAACTCGTCACTTTCCGCAGGCTACCGAACGGTCACATAAACTTCGAAAAATTCTGGCAGCTCGCGAAGCAGGTGACCGAGTTCATGGCGTGGAAGCAGGTCGCGTGTCCGTTCGAGAAGGATCCGAAAATCATCGCCGTGCTCCAGAGGGGGCCCGTGCTCACCGAGAACGCCCTCGCGCTCGCCAGCTTCGAGTGCGAGCCGCCCGAGAACAACCAGGAGAAGGAGCGATGCAAGAGCCTAAAGGCGGAAGGAAACAACGCGTCCTAATTTTTGGCGACCACCGATATTGTCGTGCCATTCCCCCACCACCACCACCGCCCCTCGAAATTGTTTGCCATACTAGGAAATCGCGCGCTTCGTTTGAATTCTCGATTATTCAAATGCTTGTAGATAGGGTTGGTTTCGAGAGGAGATTGTCCACATAATCATTCGTGAAACGAGATCGAAGACTTTTTTGATACGAATGTTTTATCGCATTGTAACATTTTGTACTATTTGTAGTTTTTCATACCTCAAAAAAAAAGAAACGTTTAAACGCGAGTATTTAAGCGATGTACTTAATTGATATTGACCAGATTAACAGTATTCACGCGTCACGTTTAGTTTTGAAGCACTTTTACAAAACAAAAATGTCGTTTCCTACAATGATGCTTCTTTGCTTTATTGATATTAGATGTAATACAAACACAAAAGACTTAATTTAATCAGTATTCTAGTCATTAGGGAATAGAGAGATACTAATTAAAGTACATATATGTTGTATTTGTAGTTGTAAAAATCATTTGTAATCTGTACCAATTTGTTTAATGTAAAAATTGTACTGTACCACTTCCTTTGTTGTTTTTCATTACAGTTGCTACCTTACCCCCAGTACGCACTGTAGTTCCATTGTAATTTCCAGGAAAGCACAAGGCAAGTACTGTGGGTCATAGGGGAAGGGCGGCCAACTTTTTAAAATAGCAATCACGATAAAAACAACGGCGATTAAAGGCAATGAAAATATTTACTGTGAACACTATGCAGGTCAGTCTTCAGTCATCATTAACTCTTTTGATTGGGAAGTGTAAACGCGAGGGGGCGCAATGCATGTCAATTAGATGGAATACGAGCGCGTTGGTGTTCCCTGGTTTACGTGAATTATAGGCAACACCACTACAAAAGAGAAATGCGGTTTAATTCCAGGACATATTTCATTATATTATAGCAGGAGGGAGGTAATGCACCTTTCAACTGAATCTCGCCCCAGTTTTATGTAATCCATTATATTGTTTATTTCTTTGTAATTAAAGGCATTTATTATTATTATTAATTTTTAGAATGCAGGATTTGCCAAATACGGGACGGTTGCCCGCCTAGGGGAAGGGTTCTTGAATTTTGCATTGCCGAGTGGATTTTTAAACCCTCGCCACTTTTAATATAATTTTTGAGAAATCGTCATCGAATTTTACTTTGCTGTGGGTATGGGTGGGGTGTATGGTACGTTTGGCTAACACTTCGACAGAGGATTGGAAAAACCTAGAAAGTACCTACTGCAAGAGGCCAAACACCATCGGAAATGCGGTTTATGGCTTTGTTGACCGTTAATACAAGGTTAGTATCTATTTATAGAAAAAACATGAGAAATTAATAAAATACGAAATAGTGTAGCTATTCAGAGAGGTCTCTAGGCCTCTTTCGGAACTTTTTCGTCTCTTCTAAAGCGTCAAGTGCCCATTCCACCGTTTTCTGCGCCATAGCACAGCGCTCCACACCTTTGGAAAGCTCTCCACAGCACACCAGACGATCTTTTTAGACGGTTCGCCTAGTTTTAAAAAAGGTCTACAAAGCAAGGTGCCTAAGGGTTTTGAAAGCATTACAACGGGTTAACAAGGTTCTGGAAATCACTCGAGCGACTTAAGTCCTTTTCTACAGTGCCTTTCTCGGATTTTATGTGTTTCCAAATTTTTGTGGGGAATGAAAACTACAGCGCTTTAGTCCTTTCCAAACCATTCTTAAGACGCTCAACGTTTTAAAATAGTAGGTAATGCGGGACAAAATCGGATTTTTCTTTCGAAATTGGTTTTTTGTCCTTAACTTTTGATTGAGACGTCTAATCGAAAAGGTAAAACTCCTTTAGGATTCTTAAGGATTAATAAGAAAAAAGTGTTTCCCGAGAAATTTTGGAGTAGTCGATTTTTGATAAAAAGAGAAGGTTATACTCTGCTTTTTTTGAAGGCCGGAAAAAAAAATTTTCTGAGATCGACCGGGAATAAACATTTTCTTATAGAATTTGCCCCGTAGAATCCATAATTTCAAACAGTTTGAAGATTGGGCCACTAGATCAAAAGTTACAGCCCTTTGAATTTTCTTTCGAAATTGGTTTCTAGTCTATAACTTTAGATTGAGAAGTCTGATCGAAAAAGTACGAATTGTTTTGGATTCTACGCGCCAAAATTAATAAGAAAAAGTTTTTTCCCGAGAAATTTTGGTGTAGTCAATTTTGTTAAAAAAGGAAGGTTATACACTGCCTTTTTTTTGGCCCGAAGAAAAAATTGTCTCAGATCGACCGGAAAAAAATATTTTCTTATAGAACGTGGCCTGTAGAATCCATAATTTGAAACAGTTCCAAGATCGAGCCACTAGATCGAAAGTTACAGCCCTTTGAATTTTTTGTCGAAATTGGTTTTTTGCCCATAACTTTTGATTGAGACGTCAAATCGAAAAAGTACGAATCGTTTTGGATTCTACGCACCAAAATTAATAAGAAAAAGTTTTTTCCCGAGAAATTTTGGTGTAGTCAATTTTGTTAAAAAAGGAAGGTTATACACTGCCTTTTTTTTTGGCCCGAAGAAAAAATTGTCTCAGATCGACCGGAAAAAAATATTTTCTTATAGAACGTGGCCTGTAGAATCCATAATTTGAAACAGTTCCAAGATCGGGCCACTAGATCGAAAGTTACAGCCCTTTGAATTTTTTGTCGAAATTGGTTTTTTGCCCATAACTTTTGATTGAGACGTCAAATCGAAAATGTACGAATAGTTTTGGATTCTACGCACCAAAATTAATAAGAAAAAGTCCATAATTTCAAACAGTTCCAAGATTGGGCTACTAGTTCAAAAGTTACAGCCCTTTGAATTTTTTGTCGAAATTGGTTTTTTGCCCATAACTTTTGATTGAGACGTCAAATCGAAAAAGTACGAATAGTTTTGGATTCTACGCACCAAAATTAATAAGAAAAAGTTTTTTCCCGAGAAATTTTGGTGTAGTCAATTTTGTTAAAAAAGGAAGGTTTATACACTGCCCTTTTTTTTGGCCCGAAGAAAAAATTGTCTCAGATCGACCGGAAAAAAATATTTTCTTATAGAACGTGGCCTGTAGAATCCATAATTTCAAACAGTTCCGAGATCGGGCCACTAGATCGAAAGTTACAGCCCTTTGAATTTTTTGTCGAAATTGGTTTTTTGCCCATAACTTTTGATTGAGACGTCAAATCGAAAAAGTACGAATAGTTTTGGATTCTACGCACCAAAATTAATAAGAAAAAGTTTTTTCCCGAGAAATTTTGGTGTAGTCATTTTTGGTAAAAAAGGAAGGTTATACACTGCCTTTTTTTTTGGCCCGAAGAAAAAATTGTCTCAGATCGACCAGAAAAAAATATTTTCTTATAGAATGCGGCCTGTAGAATCCATAATTTCAAACAGTTCCAAGATTGGGCTACTAGTTCAAAAGTTACAGCCCTTTGAATTTTTTTTCGAAATTGGTTTCTAGTCTATAACTTTTGATTGAGAAGTCAAATCGAAAAAGTACGAATTGTTTTGGATTCTACGCACCAAAATTAATAAGAAAAAGTGTTTTCCCGAGAAATTTTGGTGCAATCGATTTTTGGCAAAAAAGGAAGGTTTTACACTGCCTTCTTTTTTGGCCCGAAAAAAAAATTGTCTCAGATAGACCGGAAAAATAAGTTACAGCCCTTTGAATTTTTTGTCGAAATTAGTTTTTTGCCCTGAGGTTAGGTTAGAGTACTAGTTAGGTTAGATCAGATTAGTTTGGGCGTTTTAAATTTTTACAATTCTTGTATCTAACCTAACGCACATGAAACTTAGCTCTCAAAAGTTCTTGAAATGAACACCCATTTAAAATTCTTATTTATTGCGGCTTACTCTTATGGCAATTAAACTCCTATATTGCGAACAGATACTTTATTAAAATTGTCAAAAAAATCTGTACGGACGGCCGTTCGTTCACTCGCCCTGCCCTATGGCAATCCAAAAACGCTAACGAAAAGGAATAGGCTATAATACAGGAGCGAAAAGTTTAATTTTCGAGTTTCGTGGTTTACTTCTTTGGCAGTGAAAGGCACAAATTTCAAAATGTTTATAGCGTTGCCCGAGTTTTTGGTAATATTAAAATAATCCATGCAGAATACAGTGACTTTATAGAGACAGTGGCGACAATAGGAGTTCGGCCGCCATTTTGCGTCGAAAGTTGGCAACACACAATACACGTAGGCATGTGTGGCGTACACCGCGGTGGTTGCGTTACACATTTTGTGAACGACGCTTTATTAGTACAATTAGCGATATAAAAACTGTAAATATGAATATGAATTTGCTGTCGAAACCCTTGGACCATGGTGTAATGAAGCAATATCATTTATTGAAGCTATAGGAGAGTTAATTAAACATAAAACCTACGACAATCGTTCAACGTTATTCTTAAAACAGAAAATTAGTATTGCAATTCAAAGAGGGAATGCAAGTTGCATTAGGTATGGGAACTTTCAACAATTCTTTCAGGCTAGAAGAAATTTTTTATTTACTTTAAATATTGTTATTGAAATTATTTGTGAAATGCGTTTTAAATTAAATTTTCATCTTTTGAATTTGGTTGTTTCTAGTAAGAAACAAACCCCTACAAGTATATTATGAGAATATCTTTCCTTTTTAGAAGAAAATTTATAACAATTGGACTGAATATCAGAATTAAGAACATTTATTCAATGTAAAATTTTGAATATCTTTGCAGGTGAAGGAAATGAAAAGACAGTAATATCAAGAAGAACGGATTATTACACTTATTAAA